TAGGATTAACTCCCACCGAATGAGGTGGTGTAGGATTCTTAATGTAATGACGATAAACTTATGTTTAATAAATGTCTTGCATTTAATGCTTGTTTGCAGCAAAAAAAAAAAAAATAAAATAAAAATAAAAAATCTTTAATAAAAAAAATCGTTTCTCACAATATTTCAATTTGTAAAAAGTTTTTTTTTAAATAATAACATAAACAATAAATAGTAAATAGTTAATGAATAAAAATTATTAATTAAATTAAAAGTTAAAATAAATTAAAAAAATATTTTATTTGTTATTAATATTAATATAATATAACTTTTAATCTTGAATTAATAATAAATTTGTTATGCATACTTATAATAATTATAAATAACTTTATTTTAAATATGAAACAATGATATTGTTTCATTTATTATTTTAAAAAAATAATTATAAAATAATATTTTATTTTATTTAGTTTTTAAATTTTATAAAAATTATAATTAGTTTATTGTTATAAAAAATTATTAAAGTTAATTATTTTATATTAATTTTTTTTTTGATATTAAAGTGAGACATTGCTTATTATTTTTATTAATATAGTAAAGTTTTAGATAATTATATAATTAATATTAAGATATAAATTATATCACTATAGATATTAATCTATTATCTATTGGATAAATATATTATTAAAAAAATTTTAAGGCAAAGAAAATCTGAAGAAATATATATTATAAATAAAAAAATATTTTAAGCAAAATCATTGTTCAGAAGAGTTTTAAAAAAAGTATAAAGTTGATAGATATAGTTGTTGTAATTATATGTGATTTCTGGGTATATACATTTGTAAGTTCAATTAAATAATGACATTATGTAAGTTACATATAATTAACAATAATGTTAAGAATAATATTAATGTTTTTTGTTAAAATGAAATAATTTTAAGTTTGTATAAGATATGAAACAATTTTTATTCATAGCTGCTTGGTGCCATCTGGCAAAATATATTGTTTTAAACTTTCTTTTCAATATTAGTCGTATGGTTACTGTAGGCAAGCTAGCATTTAACTCATTGTACTAACATATGAGAGATGTTGTTTCTTTCACGATGTATACCTTGCTATATACAAATCAAATAAAGAAATGATGTTTACCTACAAAAAAAAAAAAAAAAAAAAAAGATATGAAACAATTTGTATTGTTATAATAGTTTGTTTATTGATAAAAATATTGGAACCCATGCAAGATGCTAACTACATGCTCTTTCAATTTGATAAGTTATTATATTGTTTTGATGTAATATGATGAGATAAAATATAATTGGTAGTTTATAAATTGTAGATTTTTTGATAAGGTAAACTGATTTTGGTTTTTAAAAAAATCTATATATGTAAGTTTCAAAAAAAAAATTTTTTTGAAAATATTATTTATTTAATAAAAAATAAATCGTGTGATTTAATACAGATAATGAAAATGAGTATATTGGCAATTATAAAAAGTTTTGAATTTATTTAAATTAAAATCATTTATTTATTTTAATTAATTATTATTATAATATATATATTTGTGTCATTGATTTTTTATAGTTTTTATAAAAAAAGATAATATAATATAAACTTATAATATATAACTGTAAAAGTGATTTGCAAGTTTAATTCTAGTAAAAAACTTGAAAATATAATTTTATTCAATAGATAGGCAATATTTTGTTTTTTTATAAATTATATCTTAGGTTTTATACTATTGATAGATAAGCTGAATTGAAAAATTTATACATGTATAAGTAAATTTCAATTTTTTAAATTAATTTTCTTTTATATATTTATTAGACTTATACAAAATATAATTAATTTTTGTAATACATATTAACTTTGGAGAAAGATTTTTAATATAATATCGCAACTAATCTTTGTTATGTTTGTAAAAAATTTTCATATAATCTCGACATTCTACTGTAATATTTATCGAAATCTGGGCATCTAATGATCTCGTATAATTAAAAAAATAGCATTATATAGCCTATAATAAGTGATATGTTATTTAAATAATTGAAATTTTATAATAAAAAATTATTATTATTGCAATATATATTATATAATATTCACAATACAGTACTGTATTTTGGTATTTTAACTTTATTTACAATTGTTTGATATAATTCATTTAAAGAATTTCTCGACTAAAAAGTAAGTAAAACAGAAAAACATGAGGCCCGTGCGTGAGAATGTTTGTTCCTTTGAATATTGATGAACACTGGAATGTGGAGATAAGTTTTGTAAAGCTTCCAAGAATAATCCACAGGATCACAATCGATTGAATAAATATACTTTAAGTTATACAATAAAGATAAATTATATACCATTTGCAAAGTTTGATAAGTTGTTTTTTTTTAATGGGCCAAGTAATGTAGTTCAACCAACGGCAGATTACATCCTGAAATGAGGTAATATATACTGTAACTAACTGTTATCTATAATAATAATCTCGAACAAGCCATATGAAATTCAGAAAATGTTACTTCCGACCATTCTTTGACATCACCCGTTCGAAACAATAATGACATCACTTGAGTTTTATTTCGTTCTTCATGACTACAATTATTATGATCGATAAGATTCATTTACAATAGACTCAGACTTTGAAAACTTCACCACATCGCTCAAAGAAGGGAAAAAACAATTGATATGACATCACTTGTAAGACCATATCATCCATGTAGTATGATTGAGGGTCATAATACTCACGATTTTTCATGTATATATATTCATCAACTTCAGGAATATACTTTTATCGAGAAATTCACGATCTATAAAGATCATCCTCACAAGTTATATGAATTATCAAAAAATCAATTAAGTTTCGCTGATATTAACACAATTTTTAAATTAATCAACAAAAATCAATAATGTACAACCTTGCGCAATGCCAAAAAAATGAGACCAATTTAAAAGCTCTTGCGAATAATACTAGTGGTACTACAGATGAAGGAAATTCATCAAACACTGTGAATTCAATTACCTTTTATAACGCGCCATTTAACCCATCAGTGGTCAAAGTAGCCAATGGACAGCAATTCACCAACTACGTTTTGCCGCCTCTCGTCAACAATCATCATCATCATCACTATCACCATCATCATCATCAAAAGACAAATAATAATGTTCAAACGGCTTCGCAGAGATTCCATGCAACATTGCCTGCGATTAATTGCCCACCTACACCAATTATTCGATCAATAAAAAATCCGTATATCCATTCGTATCCGACTCAACAAGTTCATTCACAATCTCTTCCAGTTTCGCAAATTCCAACCACAAAGGTACAGATTCCAACTTCCAGTATACAACTATCCGATTCCTCTTCAAAGTCTCAATCCCCACTTTCCTATTTGACTCGATCATCTCAACGTTCATGTCCATTTCACCAGTCACCTCATGCTCGTCTATCTAAACCTCTTACTCTTGATCCTTCCCCATTATTATGTCAACCTATATCGCTTCCACCGCCGATTATTAAGCCTCATGATGAAGGCGCCATTGTTCCGCAAAAGAATCAAATGCAAAAAGAGAAGCAGTCTCTTAGATTGGAGCGTAATCGCATAGCGGCCAAAGAATGCCGGGAACGTCGAAAAGAATATATTACGAGGCTAGAAGGTAGGGTGGAAAGAATTGAGGAAGAAAATGAAGTCTTGAAAAAAAAGATTCAGGAGGCTAATGTGAAATTAGAATTGTTTGAAAGAAATACGCTCGAACGTAGTGAATTAGAGATGATTGTGAGAGAATTACAAGAAAAATTAGAAGGCATTGATAATGCTTAGATACAGTAAATTTTTGTACCCTGTATTTTATTTCATTAGATTGATTGTTTTGATACCGTTCCGTGTATTTTAAGTTCCTTTTTTTTTTGGTAATTTCATTTTTTTTTTTTTCAAGAATTTTATAAGTGCTCTTCAAAAATACATTCTCGGGAAATACCAGAATGAGGCGTACCGAATTAAATTCATTTTTTGATAGGTAATATACAAAAATATGTCGGCGTATTGATAATCACGCATCAAAATTTTCGAGTCTCTTACTGTTGTCACTTAAGAGAACCATTATTAACATTTAGCAAGTTTAACAATCGCTATTCTTATATACTGTATAATAAGAAGAAATGAGGAATCTCACGAATAATAGAATTATGATAATGACTAGTATAAAGTTCAATTTATATGTTAAAGGAATACTATGTAGTATTTCATAAAAATCATAGTAAGGGCTACATCCTTTTTTTTTATTGTCCAACATATCCCCCTTTTTTTATCACTTCATTAAACATTTAAACATTTTGGCATAGGATTTTAAATGAAGAATCTTTCAAATGGAATATTACTTTATGGTACGGTAACTGTTTCTTCCAATTCAGATTCATTTTGTGGTTTTTTGTTCTTATGAATTAAATCTTTTAATGCAAATCCCAAATCTGATAATAGAAAGATGAACTTTATGATTCAAATTGTATTTAAGAAACCATTAAAGTAGATGATTACAAAAGATTTATTAGTTCACAGAACATGGTGCAAATTTTCTTTAGATCGGTTTTTGTGAGCTATAGAACCTATTTTAATCATTTAATTCTATTTCTTTTGGTAATTTTTAATTTTTTGCTAATAATAATATTTTTAAATGTTTTTATTAAAGTGCTAAAAAAAAATTGAAATTGATAGAAATTTGGTAACAATCAATTTTTGGAAAATAAAATCAGATATTAATTTTCAAAATATTAATTGTTCATACTGTAATAATTACAATATTACCTTGTAATTTAGATTAATATTCTTTTTATTTAAACAATTAAAATTATCTGTTAATTTTAAGCATCTATTATAACTTTGATACAATTATCTAATTATTTAAGAATTTATACAATTTTGATAACTGACATGCCTTCTTTTCTAAATCTTTTTACAATAAACATTTGACTTTTGTTAAATCCTTTTTTAAACTTATTAAATAAGCAAAAAAGTTTTTTGACTTTTTTTTTAAATAATAAACTAAACAAAAGTGAATCTCTTATTACAGTAACATACAGTGATATCCAAATAAAATTTTGATAGCAATAAATTAATTTAAAACCATTATAATTATATAATTATTATAATCAATTTAATTTTTATAATTTTTCTATTTATTTTAATAAATATATATTTATAATATTGTCAATTAATTATATTTAAAAATTATTATAAAATAATATATTTATTTATCTTTTTATAACAATTTTAAATTGCAACTAAAATTTTAAATATAAAATTCAAAACTATTTATAATTACTTTTAATAATTTAAAAGATTAAATATATATTTTTAAAAATTTATATATAATATAGTATACAAATAAAATAAACATCTATTAATTATTATAAGTAAATATAATCAAATCAAAAATATAAGATTATAAATATATATGTTTGTTTTTTCATTTTATTAATTATCAATTTTTTTAATTAATTAAGTATATATTATATATTTTTAAAATTTAATTCAATATAAATACAAATATATTTAAAAAAAAACTCTCTCCCGTAAATCAATTTTTAACAAAAAATTTCCTTTTATAGTAACAACCTTTAAAACAAACATT